TCTTGTGCTTATTTCCTTGCGTACGGATGACAGCTACGTATGACTTAATTTACTTTCTGGTGCTTTCGCTTCCAGAGACAGTTGTAAGCACTGTGTAACTGCCTCGAGGAAGCTTGACCATTTTAACACAACGTGGTGCGATCATCCCCCGTTGCGGGGAGTGAGGGTTCTCGACCCCGCACAACATGATCTACTCGACCACCATTCATGGTTACCGCCAAAAAAAAAACCGAGGTAAAAAAAAAAAAACGGTAACCTGGTTGCCGAGTTCACGAAGTGAATTGGCTTGTTTTACAACGTCGTTGCCAAGCGACGAAAACCCAATCCCCGATGGCAAACAAGGCCGAGGGGGGGGGGGCAGGGGGGGGTCGGCAAAAATGTACCCCCAAGCGCAAAAAAACAATGAACCCTCAGGCCTATTGGATAGGAAACGAAATACATTGAAGGGAAACAGGGAGGAGGAGCAGCGGAGGGAGGTTTGGTCCGGTGTTAGATTCGAGTGGTGGTGGCGGTGGGAGGTGGTCGGTGCGGTACCCCATGGAGCCCGGAGCGATCTGTCGCTCGATTTTGTTTTCAGCTGGTCGCTGTTTGCGCTGTTCGCATCAACGCACCTCGGCACGCACGGGTATTGAATCGAATCGAGGAGTGATGGAAGGCAAATGCAGAACTTAAGATATATTCTCAGGTATATCTATCCTGGGATGCACAGTCGACAGCCTGAGGGTGAAGGGGAACAACGATCCGTTGACACCTCTCGCAATCATCGATCCGTCTCGTGCACGCACGCACCTTCACCCCGCAAAGATTGAGTACCCCCCCCCCCCTCCCATACCTCCGTCCTCTTGAGGACGCGTGGTCAATGATCCAGCCGCGAAGACATACAAAGCGTGAGAGTACGCCCCTTTCGCCGTCCCATGAACCTCATATCGAAACCTCGACCGTTTTGTCAGAGAGGGCGAGCTAACCCTTCAGCTGAGGGAGGTTGAGTCGCGGTGTGCGGACCAGGCTCGGCGGCGGGAGAGGGCCGAGCGAGAGGCGGCGGAGCTCAAGGAAAGTTCCAAGAAATTTCGCCAGGCCTTGGAGGCGGAGGAGAAAGTCAGTCGGGGGTTGCGGTGGGAGCTCGAGGATCGCCAGCAGATCGCCGCCGCTGAGGTGAGTAGGTGACGTAAGACACCACACCCCCGTGGGACGATGTTCGAAGCTCGATTCTCCACGACAAAGAGGATGCAATAATGAAACGGCGCGTTTTGTCGGAAAGCTCTCGACGATTGACGCCGCCATTTTCGGCACTGCCGCTCTTTTCTGCTGTGGAGAAATCGCGCTTCGGAAATCGGTCCAGGGAGTGTGATGTGTCGTGTCATGGCATGTCATGTCACCTACGGTAGTCCTCACCCTTGCGGGAAACTTCGGTTGTTTGCGGATTGGTGCTTGAATGTCTTTTGGAGGTGTCTTGGAATCCGGAATCCGGAACATTCCCTGAATTCGGAACGTTCCGTGAATCCGGAATGTTCCGTGAATACGGAATTTCCTTGAATACGGAATGATTACGGAATTTCCGTGAATGCGTGAACCCGGGACGTGCCATTGAATCCGGAATGTTCGGTAGGTGTTTCCACAGGAATGTCTTCGACGAGCGAAGTCTTGCTGCTCCATGTAGCTGTGCCGTGGGCGGTTTGTGATTTTTTGCTTGAGAGGGTCCCGTGGAATACGGAGCTTGGAACGTCCCGCGGGTGTTCGTGAGGAATGCCTTTGTACAGCGTGGTTTTGGTTGATAAAGCTGCAAAGTCCTTGGCAATTTTCTGGAAAGTTCCCTTGGTTAAGGTTGCCATCCTCGTCCGGATCGATACGATATTCTTGAATGTGGTCTGAAGAAAAAGAACGAAGAACCCGCTACAACCCTAACCCTAACCCTAACCCTGACTCTAACCCTAACCCTTCTGCTGTTTCTGTATTTTTTTTCTCCGCAAGAACGAAGAAGCCGCAAGAAGAGCCGGGGAGTTGGAGAACGAGTACGAGGCCGCCGTGTGTTCCGGAGAGGAGAGGCTGAGGGAGGTCTTGGGGTCTCTGCACGCCGTCGAAAAGGCGTTCGTGCAGCACAAGGACAGGTAGGTACAAGGCGCGGGGTTGACAGGGGGATCAATCCCTGTTGTGGTTGCGCATGGCTGCAAAGCACGGTACCGTAGAGCCTTGCGATGGCCAGGACGACGCAACACTTAGGGTTTCCTAGATCAAGCAGGCGTTTCACTACAAGGGGAGGAGGGGGGGCGGGTGGAGTGGAACGACAACGATACATGCGTGTTTGATATGTTGAAACCTCTACAGAAGAGAGGGGATGGAGGAACGAGTAAGCTTGAGAGACCCTATATGAGCAGTGTTGTTGATTTTGGGCCATTCAGAAATTAGAAATTAGTCGTCAACATGGTACGCGGACCCCGCCGCCCCCGCACACTGATGCATGCCATGCCTTGCCCCGACTCCAGACAAAGACTGGAGGAACAAGCGTTCCAGAGGAAGGAGGAAGACCTTCGGTCGGAGTTAGAGGCCTGCGGGTCGAGGGCGGCGGGGCTCGAGAAGGCTGTGTCGGAGGGGGGGGAGAGGGAGGCGGAGCTGAGAAAAGTCGTGCGGGCGGCGAGGTCAGTTTTCATGTCGTCACGGGGGAGCATGTTGTGTATGTTCCGGTAGAGATGGTGGTGGTTTTGTTTGTTGTCGGCGTTTTCGTGTCGTACAGCAAGTGGTAGGGCGGGCCCTCAAAATCAAGAAATCTTTCCGTTGCGAAAAAAAGAGGCTCAATTTTTTGTGTGTGAACAAGACGGAATTAGAACAGGCTAGCGGTAGGTCCTGCACTGCACTCTGCAAGAAATCTTTCCGTTGCGAAAAAAGAGGCTCAATTTTTTGTGTGTGAACAAGACGGAAATAGAACAGGCTAGCGGTAGGTCGTACACTACACTCTGCTGCTGTATACCGCAACAACCTGATGGGATGAGAGGCGACGAGATAATAAATTGAGCCTGGACCCGACAAAGACGTTTGGCGTTTCTTGGTCCGGAATGTACGCGTAGTTTTTTGTCCCTTGCGCTTGGTGTGTTTTAGAAAATAACATGAGCACACAGAAAGACCAAGACTGCCCGTTAATAACCCTTGTGGGTGGTGTTGCGGGTGTCGCCACCTTCTGCTGCATCACGCCCGGGCTGTTGCTGTTGCTCTTGGGTATTTGAAAATGTTCACACCATAGCAGAAAGATTCCCCTTTCGAGGTAGCACTCCAGTCGAAGGGATGCGTTGCATCAAAGTAAAGTTGGCAGTTGGTCAATGGTGTCTATGGTGTCAAATCACGAGGTCTCAACCCTGATGGTTGTATACCCAACGCAGCGAGCCAACGATTGTTCTCCTACATAAAAAATTAACTGTAGACAATGACCGTTTCCCCGCCTCTCTCTCTCTCTCTCTCTCCCTTGCTCCCTGCCTCGCTCTCTCTGTGAAAACCTCTCGCTGTCACTCTGGGTGGCAACTGCACCCCCAAACACACACACACAATCCAAGGGAGGAACATAGCCGAGAAGCATCCGTCCTCCGGAAGCAAACCGCCGACCGGGAGGCCGCGCTAAAGAAGGACATCGACCAGGCGAAAGGGGCAGCGGCAGCTCTCAAGGACGCTAACCTTTCCCTCGAGGGAACGGTGGCCGGCCTGAAGGACAGGGAAGCTGTCCTGGAGAGGGACCTCCGGGAGCTAGGGGACGAGAGCGCCAGGATGCTCGACGAGGTGGGCATGTTTGTGGTCATGTGGGGGTGCTCGGCGGCATTGCGTTGCGTTGCCTTGCACTACTTCTAAAGTAGACAATTCTAGCAGCATGCCTTTTTTGTTTTGTTTTTTACGTCACTCTATATTCGTGCTGTAAAAAGGAGAAAATGCGGCCGGTCCGGTGCGGTCATGTGGCCACGTGTGCGTGCGTGCGTGTGTGTGTTTGTGTGTGTGTTTTTTTTATTATTAGCATGGACCGCGCTACCCGGCTGACCAATGAAAATACGTCAGTCTTAGTGCGGTTGAAAACACAAAACACTTTCATCTGCCATGAACTAACTGGGACCCCGTGAGGGGGCAGCATGGGGGAGGCTAAACAATCCTTCGGATCAAAGACAGAAACGGTGGCAACAGAAGAACGCTGCTCCCTTCTACCAAGGCTATTACCTTGTACGCGAGTTCGTTTAGGAGTACTTTCACCATTATCCCCTTTGTTGTCGCTACCATCATTCTGATCCTGTGCGTGTGTTTTTTTTTTTTTTTCTGTTTGTTTTATTGTTGTTAGGATCGAACGCTCTAACCGGTGACCTTTTAAAATAGACGTCGGTGTCCCAGTGCAGCTGAAAATAGAAAATCCTTCTGAAGGCCGTGGTCTGGGACCCCGTAATCTGGGACCCCGTGAGGTCACGTGTGTGTGTGTGTGTGTGTGTGTGGATTTGTGTTGGTAGTGATCGTTGTCTACGCGTTTGTTTTCGCAAAGACTCGGTTATTGTAACCGATCCAGGGGGGGGGGGGGGTATCTTATGCAACCTGCGGTATCCCGTATGTGTCGTTTTGGCGGTGGTTGCGGCGGCTCTTACCCTTACGTCGCACGTCGACATCCCACGCGTATTTCCTACCGCTGTGTCGGCCTACACACATCACGTTTGTTGCGAGGGGCTGTAGGTGGAGCGATCGCTGGGCTCTGCGAGAGAGGAAGTCGGACACCTGCGAGGACAGCTGTCTGAGGCACGTCACCAGGCGGGAGCAACAGCGGCGGAGCTGGAGCAGGCCAAAGGAGACCTCGAGACCCTCAAAGAGGTGATGTATTTCTAAGGCCCGCCGCAAGAAAACACGAACCGTTTTTGTCCAACACTTGTTCGTAGGAGAAAAAAGATGGGCCGTGAGTCGAGGTGAGCACGTCAGCGTGCAAAAGGTTTTATTTTGTTGCCTGTTTTTTGGGGGTGAACCCTGTGGTTTCTACCAACACGCCCAACCGCTCCTGTTAAAAATCATTACCACAACAACGTACAACGTGTACACCAACAAAGCAGACCGTCGTGGCCCTATCTCAATATCCCATCCTTATGTGTATCCAATGGCCTAAGCTTGCTTTTGAACGCTCTGTGTTTTCCACAGCATATGTGTATCCAATGGACTAAGCTTGCTTTTGAACGCTCTGTGTTTTCCACAGCGTATGTGTATCCAATGGACTAAGCTTGCTTTTGAACGCTCTATTTTTTCCACAGCATGTGCGTATCCAATGGCCTAAGCTTGCTTTTGAACAATCTACTTCTTCCCACAGCACATGTACGACGGGCGTTGTACAACTTCAATATGTTGATTGCCATCCTCCTCCCCCTACTTATCCTTGCCGTTTTCGTGTTTTTTTTTCGCGGCCACGCCGACGATGGCGGTCGATGCGGGATGAGCGAGCAGACCTCCCGCTGCGACAAGCGCGAGCTGCAGGCAAGGGTGGACTCTTTGCAGGACGTGCTGGCGTCGGCCGCGAGGAGCACATCCCACCTACCCAACGCGGTACGTTCCGTGTGTGCAATAGATATATCTCGTACATGCCGCGTGTACTGCTGTAAGTATCCTACCTCCTCGAAGCGGTATAGGTTCGGTATACGCATACGTCCCACCTCCGCCACACGGTATGTTCCGTATACGCGTACGTCCCGTGCAAGGCATACGCCCCACCTCCCCAGCGCGGACGGTTCGCGTTTGTGCTCCCGATGTTCCGCACCGAATTTGTCAGGGTAGGTTTATGGACGTTGCTATTACTGCTGTTGTTGCTCGTTTTTTTTTTTTTTTTTGTTTCGTACAATAACCATCATTAACGGGAAACTGAAACCGTCTTGGAAACCTGTTGTGGGATGGAACCGAACTGTGATGGGCTCTTGTTTTTTCTTTGGCTAATGCCATGACCCCCGGACTGGCTGTGCAATCCATCAACAACATGGTGGCGACAAGATCTTTATCCGTACGCGCAATGTGATCCTTACAGCAGTCGGCTGGAAAAGGCAGCCCGCTCTTCTCCGAAGATCAGGGGGCCCCGTCCCCGTTGCTACCCCCCCCGCCTGACACCCGAGGGTCTTCTTCTTCTGCTGCTGGTGCTGCTGGTGCTGCTGGTGGCGGTGCTCTTGGAGTTGCTGCCACGGGCGTGAAGACGATTGGAAGGGGCGCCGTGGATGTGGATGAGGGGGGGTTCGGCGTCTCCGCGGTGGCGGGCGGTAGTAGCCAAGGGGGGAGGGACCAGGTGAAGTGGGAGATAGATTCAGATTTCGATGTGGTTTCCTACAAGCACAAAATATCCCACCTCTATCCACCGATAGATAGAGAGTCAAGGAAAAATGTTTATGGGCTTATAGGGAGACAGCCTCCAGGATAAAAGGTCAATGGACTTGATAGGCAGGCAAACGTTCATACATTTTCGTGATCGTGAACAGCGGTGAAGAGGAATGCCATACAAGTATACATCGGTTCGTAGTGCATGCACGGCTTGATGAAGCTATGTTCTGGTGTATCGTATGCTGAAGGCGAGCACCGCCCAACGTATGCTCGTGTGCCGATAGACATCCCATTGATGAAGAGTTTTCCGAACGAGGGGAAAAGAGGAGCTCCGTTCTTGTTTGCCCTACATGTGCAAGAGGCTGGGTGGTACAACCGTTTGACTTCGGGACGTGCCCGCTGTGT